GCTTCTGGAGCTAGGGGTACTGCTGGAGCTGGTACTAGTGCTTCCCCTCCTAGGCGGGAGCTGCCCTCTCCCCAGCGGCTCCGAGAGTGGTACGCTCGGCGCTGCACTAGTGTCACGGACCCTGTTGCTGGAGGTGCTGCTGACGCTGCTGGAGGTGCTGCTGGTGCTGGTGCTGCTGGAGCTGCTGGAGGTGCTGCTGCTGCTGGCGGTGCTGCTGGCGCTGCTGGAGGTGCTGGTGCTGCTGGAGCTGCTGGAGCTGCTGGAGGGGCTGCTGGTGCTGGTGCTGCTGGAGGTGCTACTGGTGCTGGATCTGCTGGAGGTGCTGCTGCTGCTGGCGGTGCTGCTGGCGCTGCTGGAGGTGCTGCAGGTGCTGGTGCTGCTGGAGCTGCTGGAGGTGCTGCTGCTGCTGGCGGTGCTGCTGGCGGTGCTGGAGGTGCTGCTGGTGCTGGTGCTGCTGGAGCTGCTGGAGGTGCTGCTGCTGCTGGCGGTGCTGCTGGCGCTGCTGGAGGTGCTGCTGGTGCTGGTGCTGCTGGAGCTGCTGGCGGTGCTACTGGAGCTGCTGGAGGTGCTGGTGCTGCTGGTGGTGCTGCTGGTGCTGGAGCTGCTGGAGCCGCTGGTCCTGGAGGTGCTCGTACTGGAGGTACTGGAGCTGCTGGGACTGGAGCTGCTGAGTCTGTCTGTCTGTCTGTCCTCCGTCCGTCGGGGGTAGTGTGCTCTTGGCACGGACGTCCTTGAGGACAGACAGGAGGAGTTTGAGTGCTTTGCTGCTGCTTTACCTCATCTCGTGTCCATGCTGTGTGCCCCTGAGGGAGACCCGGATGCACCAGACATCCCGACCCCACGCTCTTACGCAGAGGCGATGGAGGGTCCCTACTCCTCTCAATAGAAGACAGCCATGGACGCAGAGATGGCTTCCTGGAAGTCCACAGGCACCTACGTCGACGAGGTTCCCCCACCTGGGGCGAGCATCGTCAGTGGCATGTGGATTTTCAGGGTGAAGCGGCCGCCGGGTTCTCCGCCTGTCTTCAAGGCGCGTTACGTTGCACGAGGCTTCAGTCAGCGAGAGGGAGTTGACTTCTTCCAGACCTTCTCCCCGACCCCGAAGATGACCACTCTTCGGGTTCTGCTGCACGTCGCCGCTCAGCGTGACTACGAGCTCCACTCTCTTGACTTCAGCACTGCGTTCCTACAGGGCAGCCTGCACGAGGAGATGTGGCTGCGCCGCCCACCTGGATTCAATGGGTCGTTCCCTCCTGGTACCCAGTGGAGCCTCCGGCGGCCAGTCTACGGTCTCCGCCAGGCACCCCGTGAGTGGCACGACACACTGAGGACTACTCTTGCTGCTCTTGGGTTTGCTCCCTCCACTGCTGACCCGTCGCTGTTTGCAGCCGCCGTCGACCGATGCACTCGCGCCTGGCTCCTGTCGACGCCACCGTCGACCTTGATCACACCTCTCTTCTTCGTGCCCTCGCTGCCGCTGACTCGTGCACCGCCGTCGACCTCCTCGTCGATGCCGCCTTCGTTTCTCACCGGTCGAGGAGATGTAGGACGGGAAGGGTGATCCGTCGCCCACTTTGCGCGGATGCCCAACTCGACGACCTCCAACAGGAGGTTCGACCCGTGCTCGCCAGCCTTGTGGCGTCTCCTCGCATCAGCTAGTCGCACCATATGTGACTGAGCGAGTGTGATGGTGCGAGTTGCTCTGTCCCTGTTGATCTGCAAGCCAAGTTAGCAGCGCAGTTTAGTGCAACCATATCTGTTATAGAGAATTGTCAAACTATAACTGTTATAGTTGCCCACAGCACCACCATTCTCCCGTTTCCGGCGGCTCCCTCTGGGTTTCTCACATGTTACTACACCCCCTCGTTCTCTAGGAACTTGGTGGGTGTCAGTCACCTCCACGACCTCGGAGTTGTCACCACTTTCTCTCTGGACGAGCCAGTTGCCTCTTGCACAGTCGGTGCCACTGGAGTGCCTCTGGCCACTTTCCACAGGGAGCTGGGCTCTGGTCTGTACTCGTTATACACTGGGTCCCACCACACTGGGTCAGGTCAGGTAGCTGTTGTGTCGTGCGCCTGTCGGTCACTCACCCACCCGTCGGTCCCACGTCTCAGTAGGATGGTACGTCACCGTCTGGTCTAAGGTCTCACAGAGTCGCTTGCCCCGCTTCCTCGTTCGCCTGCGCCGCCGTGCACTCCTTGCGTCGAGGGTCGGCAGCGCGCTGCCCCTCACTCCTCGTCGTTCCCCCGCACCACGGCTCCCTTCCAGACCCTGCACTTGGACGTCTGGGGCCCCTCCCCAGTCCGTGGCCCACGTCAGGAGCGCTACTTCCTGATTGTGGTGGACGACTAATCCTGCTACACCACGGTTCTACCTTTGCGCCGGAAGGCCGACGTGCCTATCGTCCTCGAGCCGAGGCTACTAGCGAGGGGTGACGCCCAGGTCCTTTGTGGGCTCCGCCTGCACTCGGACCGTTATGGTGAGTCTTCTTCCATTCGCCTGGAGACGTTATGTCAAGGTTGGGGGATCATCCAGTCTTACACGCTACCAGACTCGCCGCAGCAGAACGGGGTAGCCGAGCGACGCATCGGCCTGGTCATGGAGGTTGCCCGAACCTCCATGTGCCATGCCGGTGCCCCCCAGTTCCTGTGGCCTCAGGTAGTCCGCTACGCCGCGCACCAGCTGAACCTGTGGCCTAGTGACGCACGGCCACGGGTGACGCCTGTCTCTCTTTGGACAGGTTGTGCGGGTGTAGCAGCTGACTACCGCGTCAGGGGTTCCTTGGCCCACGTTCGCGCCCCTGGTGCGAACAAGTTGTCTCCGCGCACCCGTGCCTGCGTCTTTCTTGGTTTCCCACTCGACACCTCCGGCTGGCAGTTCTACGACCTGGTTACCTGCCAGTTCTTCAGTTCCCAGGACGTCACTTTCGACGAGTCAGTCAGTTACTACAGGAGTCGCCCTCACAGAGGTTCCGAGACCTTCTCCCCCCCGCTGTTCCTCACCACTGAGCCCCCCCCCAAGTCGCCCCGGTAGCCCCCCCCCCCCCCCCCTTCGCGTCCTGCCCCGTCAGGTGTGTCGCACGTCACTCCGCAGTCGTCCCCCCCGCAACGTCAAGTCCCTGCCGTGTCTGGGGGTGCGGGAGGTGCAGTTGTGGAGGGCGAGGGTACTGGGGCTGCAGGAGCTGGTGGTGTCGGCTCTGGGGGTGCAGGAGTTGTGGGCGTGGAGGTCACTCCCGTGAAGGACACGGCAGCCTCGAGTCGGCGGCCTCGCCCCGCGTCACCCCCTGGCTTCCCGTCCGTCCCGCAGTTCCCTCCTCGTTCTTCTCTGCGGCCGGTTGCTGCGGAGCCTGTGGGTGTTCCTGCGGGAGGTACTAGAGGCCCCGGGGGTGTCAGTGGTGGAGGTGCTGGTTCTGGGGGTGCTGGAGCTGGAGGCACTGGCACTGTGGCGCCTACACCGCGCACTGTACGTTTCCTGACCCGCAAGCAGCGTCTCCTCCGGTTGGAGAGGGAGGAGCGTGAGCGGTTTGAGAGGGCACAGCAGCAGCAGCAGCAGCAGAAGCAAGAGCAGTCTCAGTCGCAGCAGCAGGAGAGAGTAGAGGAGGAGTCACAGCAGCAGCAGGAGAGAGCAGAGGAGGGGTCACGACTACAGCAGCAGGTGCAGTTGCAGCCGCAGCAGGAGACAGTAGAGGAGGAGTCACGAGTGCAGCAGCGGGTGCAGTTGCAGCCGCAGCAAGAGAGAGTAGGGGAGGAGTCACGAGTGCAGCAGCGGGTGCAGTTGCAGTCGCAGCAGGAGAGAGTAGAGGAGGAGTCACGGCCGCACCAGGAGAGGGTAGAGCAGGAGTCCCGCCCGCAGCAGCAGGTGCAGTTACAGACACAGAAGGAGAGAGTAGAGGAGTCACGACCGCAGCAGGAGAGGGTAGCGCAGGATTTCCGGTCGCAGCAGCGGGTGCAGCTGCAGCTGTCGCGATATACAGTTTATATATATTTCTAACTGCCTCTAGCTTTAGCTTTAGTGTGGTTATGCTTTCGTACTATTGGTGGTGCACCTTCTCATGTTTGCTATATGTACCTTGTGTGCTATAGTGAACACATCTCATTCTCGCTTTCCTTGGCCACGAACTACTCGACTACCGCTTGGCCTAGGCTCCTAAGCCTAGGCCCTAAGTTGAACCCGTTCCCTAGCTAAGTTCGTACGTTGACATGGTATTGAGCGATTAAGATCCGTAGACCTAAGATAATGGGCCCACCATTCCCGCCCGCTGCTGCACGTAGACCAGCCCATCGATCGTCCGATTTGACCATGGCATGCGCGGCCCATGGCGAGCACGCCGACGGACCCGCCAGCGAGCCCATTGACGGCCCCGCCAACGAATCCGCCGACGGATGCGCCGACGAATCCGCCGACGTACCTGCCGACGTTTCCGCCAACGGACCCGCCAACGAGTGCGCCAACGAGCCCGCCAACGGACCCGCCAGCGAGCTCGCAAGCGGACAAGCGAGCCCGCCCACGGATCCGCCGAAGAACCCGCCGACGGACCCGCCAGCGAGCTCGCCGACAGACCCGCGAGCGCCACCAGCCAGTGCGACCGCCAGCAGCGACTCCCTGCGAAAACGCCAGCGAAATCACCAGCAGCCCACCAGCGCGTTCGCATACGCACCTGCGACTCCGTCCGTCTCCCCGTTTTTTGTCGCCCCAGCCGCTCCTTCGCCCGCCGTCGCTCTGCCCGTCGCATTCCCCCCGCCCCCTGCCCGTCACCCCCTCCGTCGCGACTGCTCGCGTGTGCAGCGGGGGTCGCTGTGGGGAGGAGAGGGAAGAGGGGAAGGGAGTGGCGGCGTAACGCTCTGGAGAGGAAAAGGGGGAAGGGAGTGGGTGGCGGCGGAACGCTGTGGGGGGAAGGGGGGAAGGGAGTGGCGGCGTCACCAGCGACGACCGCCAGCGCAGTGGCGATCACACCAGCGCTCGCGCGCCCTCTGCTGCTGCAGCCCGTCCCCCGCACACCGTCAGATCCCGCCCAGCCTGTAGCCCGTCTGCAGCTCGTCCCACCCGTCGCGCCCCATCAGCTGCACCAGCACCATTGCCAACCGCCAGCAGCTACAATGCCAGCGACACCGCCAGCAGAGACCCCCGCCAGCAGAGACCCCGCCAGCAGAGACCCCGCCAGCAGAGACCCCCGCCAGCAGAGACCCCGCCAGCAGAGACCCCGCCAGGAGAGACCCCGCCAGCAGAGACCCCGCCAGCAGAGAGACCCCGCCAGCAGAGTCCCCGCCAGCAGAGACCCCGCCAGCAGAGACCCCGCCAGCAGAGACCCCGCCAGGAGAGACCCTGCCAGCAGAGACCCCGCCAGCAGAGACCCCGCCAGCAGAGACCCCGCCAGCAGAGACCCCGCCAGCAGAGACCCTGCCAGCAGAGAGACCCCGCCAGCAGAGACCCCGCGAGCAGAGAGACCCCTCCAGCAGAGAAGGGGTGGCCGCCGTGAGCCACTGCAGCACCACCCTCTTCCCTGCGTCTCCCCTCCCGCGGCTGCTGCTGTGGGGGGGAGGTGGCGGGGACGGGGGGGTGGTGGGGCTGGCGTTTGAAGGACAATGCAGCGACTACTGTGGGTGGGGCAGGGGTGTGGAGGAAGGAAGGGGGGAGGGAGTGTGGTTCCAGGGGGTGGCTGAACTGGGGGGTGCGGTTAAAGGGGGGGTGGTTGAGTGGGTGTGGGGATTTTGGGGTTCGTAAGAGGGGTTTCGCCGCGCTTGGCTCCCCCCCACCTCCTCCCCTCACCACTCTCTCACCTCCCCCTTTGTAAAAGGGGAAGAGGGTTTCGCCACGGGTGGCTCCCCCTTAACTCCTCTCCTCATCCCTCTCTCACCTCCTCCTTCATTCTTATCTCCTCTCCTCCTCTCTCTCTCTCTCTCTCTCTCTCTCTCTCTCTCGCCTCCTCCTCCTCACTTACCTCTCTGCCATCGTCCACTGCGCTAGCTATACCCCTTCAGGGGGTGTGACTTCCTCTAGCTATGGGCTGCAGGCAGTTAAGGGGGTGTGTCGCGATATACATTTTATATATATTTCTAACTGCCTCTAGCTTTAGCTTTAGTGTGGTTATGCTTTCGTACTATTGGTGGTGCACCTTCTCATGTTTGCTATATGTACCTTGTGTGCTATAGTGAACACATCTCATTCTCGCTTTCCTTGGCCACGAACTACTCGACTACCGCTTGGCCTAGGCTCCTAAGCCTAGGCCCTAAGTTGAACCCGTTCCCTAGCTAAGTTCGTACGTTGACAGCAGCGGCAGCAGGAGAGGGCAGAGGAGGAGCCACAGGAGCAGCAGCAGGGGCAGGTACCGTCGCAGCAGACGCCAGAGGAGGCGGAGCGGCAGCGACTGCGACTGCGCGACCTGCCCGACCCAGCACCTGCGGGCTTGGTTCGTGGTCCCCTACCGTCCCCTCCTGTTCCCCCCGTTCAGTCCCTTTCCTCGTCCCAGTGGACTCGTCGCTCTCCCCTCAGTCGTGCTGTGTCTCCAAAGCCCCGTTCTTCTCGTTACCGTGCTGACGGCCCGTTTCACCTTGTACTCCGCTCTCGTGTTCCACCTCCTCCGGTCCTTCCACAGCCTCCTGAGTCGTCCCTCACTGTGCTTCACGACCTGTTGTCCGACTTCCTCCGTGCCTCCCGTCCTGTCGTCTCTCGTGTTCTGTCCGCGTTGGTCACTCACACGACTGCCCCTCTGTCTCCGTCTTGACTACGCCTCCCACCTAGTGAGCGGCACTGCTCGTTCTCCGTCCACTGGGGGTGTCCCTTTTTTTCCCCTGAAGGTCCTGGAGGACAGGCAGTTCGAGCTTGGTTTCCTTGCGGCCGCTGTTCCTCATCTCTGCGCCATGTTGCTTGTCCCTGAGGGGGTTCCAGACGCTCTTGACATCCCGATCCCTCGCAATCACGCTGAGGCGGTCTCGGGACCTTGGGCCTCGTACTGGATAGTAGCTGAGGAGGCAGAGATGGCATCTTATAGGTCCACATGCACCTAACGCCGTCCCACCACCTGGGACGAACGTCGTCAGTGGCATGTGTCAAACTTATATTTAAGATATATCATGCTTGCTGTAGTTACTGTAGTTATTGTACTTTGCAGTTGGTGGTGCACCTCTTGTTTCCTAGTTTCTCGACTATATCTTGTATGCTTTGCTTTTAGTGAAGCTAACTTGTTTGGTCAATTCTCTCAACACTCCCTTGGCCTTGACCCTCGTCACCCGCTTGGCCTAGGCTTCTAAGCCTATGCCCTCGTTAAACCCGTTTCCTAGTTATGTCAGAGTTGTAACATGGTATAGAGCGGTTCCTTCCTAAGGACCGATTTTTATGGGCCCACCATTTCCTCCCGCGATGACGCGCCCTGTCGCACAGCCCGTAGTGCCCCCGTCGCGTTGCTCTCCCTGTAGGCAAGTTCGTCCCGATCTGCCCTTTAGCGAGCCCGCCAGTGCGCGCGTCAGGAAGCGACCAACGGACCCGCCGACGGACCCGCAAGAGCGCGCATCAGCAAGTCCGCTGACGGATCCGCCGACGAACCCGCCGACGGACCCGCCATCGGACCCGCGCGAACCCGCCAGCGAGCCCATCGACGGACCCGCCGACGATTCCGCCAACCGACCCGCCAGCGAGCTCGCAAGCGGACAAGCGAGCCCGCCGACGGATCCGCCGACGAACCCGCCGACGGACCCGCCAGCGAGCTCGCCGACGGACCCGCGAGCCCGGCAGCACGCGCGCCCGCAAGCCCGCCGACGGACCCGCCAGCGAGCTCGCGAACGGACCCGCGAGCCTGCCAGCAAGCGAGCCAGCGGACCCGCGGACGGATCCGCCACCAGACCCGCCAGTGCGCGCATCAGCAAGCCCGCCGACGGACCCGCCAACAGTCCCGCCAGCAAGCAAGCCAACGGACCCGCGGACCTGCAAGCAAGAGAGCCAGCGGATCCGCCGTTGGCGCCAGCACCAGGCACCAGCACCAGCGCCAGCCGCCAGCACCAGGCATCAGCACCAGCGCCAGCCACTAGCACCAGGCACCAGCACCAGCGCCAGCCGCCAGCACCAGGCATCAGCACCAGCGCCAGCCGCCAGCACCAGGCACCAGCACCAGCGCCAGCCGCCAGCACCAGGCAGCAGCGCCAGCCGCTAGCACCAGGCACCAGCACCAGCGCCAGCCGCCAGCACCAGGCACCAGCACCAGCGCCAGCCGCCAGCACCAGGCACCAGCACCAGCGCCAGCCGCCAGCACCAGGCGCCAGCACCAGCGCCAGCCGCCAGCACCAGGCGCCAGCACCAGCGCCAGCCGCCAGCACCAGGCGCCAGCACCAGCGCCAGCCGCCAGCACCAGGCACCAGCACTAGCGCCAACCGCCAGCACCAGGCACCAGCACCAGCGCCAGCCGCCAGCACCAGGCACCAGCACCAGCGCCAGCCGCCAGCACCAGGCACCAGCATCGGCACCAGCGCCGTCACGCCAGCACCAGGCACCAGGACCAGCAGCCCCACCTGTGACCAGCAGCCCCACCTGTGACCAGCAGCCCCACCTGTGAAGGACTGTACAGAGACCATCGTGGGTGGGGAGGGGTCTGGAGGAAGAAAAGGGGGGAGGGAGTGCGGTTCCAAGGGGCGGTTGAAATGGGGGGTGAGGTTAAAGGGGGTTGATTGATTGGGGGTGGGGATGTGGGGGTTAGTGTTAGAATCTAAGAAAGAATGAGAATGGTTGACTAGCAGGAGAATGGGAGTACAAGTACCACAAACCTAGAGTAGTGTACCCCCTAGAAGGCTAACCCACTATAGCCTACACAAATAGAACAAGTATAATGTTTGACACACCCCCATAGGCTAAGTCGGGGAGAGCAAGGGGTCACAAGACCAGTCAAAGCAAAGCAAAACAAGCTCAGGGTGGATCTCAAGGATACCACACAAATTCCGAGCACAAGGAAGTGGTCACAAGACCAGTTCACATGCAGTTTGATAATATAACAAGAGGTACAGTGATCACAACCTAGCAAGTGTAAGCATGCAGGTATATATATAGAGATCACAGTACAAGCAGAGTCAAGAAGTGAGCAAGTGAGGGACAGTAGGCACAAGGCCTAGAACAGTACAGAAACGCTGATGATCACAAGGCTGAAGCGCCTTGGTGAACACATCAGCAGTGTTGGCCCGAGTGGCCACGTAGGTAAGACGAAGCTGACCACGCTGCTGCAGCTCTCGAGCAAGGAAGTAGCGCAGAGCGATGTGCTTCGTTCTGTGCTCCAGTCTGCGCTCCTGACACAAGGCAAGGGCGGCCTTGTTGTCGACGTACAGCACTGGAGGAGAACGAGGCCGCTCTCCCAGGTCGGTCAGCAGGTAGGTGAGCCAGCATAGCTCCTGGGCAGCCATGGCTGTGGCGTAGATCTCAGCCTCACAACTGGAGCTGAGAACTGAAGACGAGCGTGTAGAACGCAAAGAAACTGAGCCAGAGCCAAGGCTGAAGGTGTAACCCTGAGACGACCGCTGAGTAGCCTGGTAGTCAGCCCAAGAAGCGTCTGAGTGTCCAGTGAGGACAACGTCGCGCCGTCCTCCAAGCACAAGCCCCATGCCCGACGTACTGCACAAGTAGCGCAACACCCTCTTAGCGGCATCCATGTGCTCCTTCCGGTGACGGCCAGGAGCGACATAGCGTGCTAGGATGCTAAGAGGGTATGCAAGGTCAGGTCGAGTGCAGGTCATCAGGTACATGAGGCAGCCCACAAGCTCTGGATACGGGCCACTCGGCTCTACGGACTCATCCGAAGGCAGAGCTGAGAGCGAGTGACCGGTAGGCAGAGGAGTGGGCTGAGGCGAGGAGTACGTGAAGCGGAAGCGCTGAAGGACCTGCTGCACCATGTGTGACTGAGTCAAGGTGATGGTGCGCTGTGCTCTGTCCCGGGTGATCCGCAAGCCAAGATAGCTTGTCAGTTCACCCAGGTGTGTGCACGTGTGTCTCTTCTGCAGCTCTGACTTCACGTGGGCGAGTGCCTCAGTGTCAGCAGTAGAAAAGACCAGGTCGTATGCGTACACTAGAACGTAGAACGGCGGCAGAGTGGTGTCGGTGCGTAGAAACAGCGACGGGTCAGCAGTGGAGGGAGCAAACCCAAGAGCAGCAAGAGTAGTCCTCAGTGTGTCGTGCCACTCACGGGGTGCCTGGCGGAGACCGTAGACTGGCCGCCGGAGGCTCCACTGGGTACCAGGAGGGAACGACCCATTGAATCCAGGTGGGCGGCGCAGCCAGATCTCCTCGTGCAGGCTGCCCTGTAGGAACGCAGTGCTGAAGTCAAGAGAGTGGAGCTCGTAGTCACGCTGAGCGGCGACGTGCAGCAGAACCCGAAGAGTGGTCATCTTCGGGGTCGGGGAGAAGGTCTGAAAGAAGTCAACTCCCTCTCGCTGACTGAAGCCTCGTGCAACGTAACGCGCCTTGAAGACAGGCGGAGAACCCGGCGGCCGCTTCACCCTGAAAATCCACATGCCACTGACGATGTTCGCCCCAGGTGGGGGAACCTCGTCGACGTAGGTGCCTGTGGACTTCCAGGAAGCCATCTCTGCGTCCATGGCTGTCTGCCACTGAGAGGAGTAGAGACCCTCCATCGCCTCTGCGTAAGAGCGTGGGGTCGGGATGTCTGGTGCATCCGGGTCTCCTTCAGGGGCAATCAGCATGGACACGAGATGAGGTAAAGCAGCGGCAAAGCACTCAAACTCCTCCTGTCTGTCCCCAAGGACGTCCGTGCCAAGAGCACACTCACCCTCGACGGACGGAGGACAGACAGACTCAGACTCAGCAACAAGGCTAGCGGCGTAGTCTAGACAACAGGCGGCAGCAAAGTCAACAAGCTCAGCAACTAGGGCAGACGCAGCAGTGGACTCAAAGGAAGGGTCAGTGACAACAGTAGCGAGAAGACGCGTGACAGTAGGACTGGCAGCACGAGCAAGGTCTGA